AAAAAAAAAAAACGTTGTGAGCACGCGTAAGTTACCATCACAAGCGGCACCTGCCGCCCACATCTTCAACCGCGCATTCCCTGAGGGCACAGCAGTGTAAGCACCGCTGCAGCATAGTGTATGCTGCATGCAGCCTCGATGTCACCACCAAGACGCAGGCACGACGCTAGATTCAGAAAACGCAGAGATGCACGTACCCGTTGTGGCTTAATTTAGTCTAGTGATATGCGTTCGCAGGCGCATCCCCAGGATGCCAGCCAACGAATACGCACACACACACACACACACACACACACACACACACACACACACACACACATACACGTACAGAGATAGAAAAGAGAAACATCAACAAAAAGACTGCGGAATAGTTGAGTATGTAAAGTAGGCAACAAAAGAAACGAGCAAGCGCTTCGGCGGAAAACGAAAATGAGTGGAGGAAGAAGAGCTGCGTGATGGAGAAGTAGGGAAAAGGGACATTTAAAACATCAAACACGAAAAAAAAAACACAGGTGCGTCTCTCAACAAATTCGGTTGAGTTCCGCCCACTTGGAGGAGGGGCGTTCATAATTCTTTATTCTGTTCTTTCCCTTAGCTCTTCTTTTTACCCTGGCGTAAAGGCAGCGACAATCCTTCACCAGTGTTACATAGCGAGAGAGCATGCGTGAGCGTGTTTGCGTGACTGTCGACCACACATACCGCATCCAGCCGCGGTGTTCTCTCATCTCCACTACAGATGGATGTCTTCGGTCGCTGTTGTCATTGCTATGGATGTAACCTCCACGCATCGCGCATATCATCACCCTTCCTCTCCGTTTTCCCAGATTTCTTACTCTCAGTGCTTGAAGCAATAGTGTTTCCTTCACCGTTTCCCCCCTCTTTACGTTTCCCAAATTCTATGCGGGGCACTCCTTATTTCTTGACCCTTGTTTTTTTTTTTTTTTTACCATATATATTCCTTTCGTGTCGTTGTTATTGTTCATCCAGCACTCGCCATTCCTCTCACTTCCATCCTCACCCCTCCCCTTTAGAGACAACACAGCATTATCCTTTACTTTTTCTCCTCACTCATTTTCTGCGCATATGTGCATATTTGTATGCGCGTGTGTGCGCCAAAATGATCACACATGAGCAACAACAACATAGAAAATCAAAAGCCAGCAGTGCATACACACACCCACACACACTTGCACGCATATATATATATATATATAT